TTCACCACTGGGCCACACTCTCGGTTCTTACTTTGCTTTAGTTACTGACTCGCACGTGGCGTCTCTCCTCCACTGGAACGTAAGCTCCAAGAGGACGGATGTTCAAACACCCTTTGCCTCGTTCACTGCTTTATCCCCAGTGCCTAGACCAGTACCTAGATTCAGTAGGTGCTCATGAAATATTTGACAAGCAAAATTGTCTTTCAGGGAGAATAGGATAAAAGCAGAGAGCACTATAGCATTCTAGAACTACAAACCACTCGGCACAATTGGAGCCCAAGATGTGCAGTAGGGAGTGGGAGGAAGTGAAGCCGAGTGTGAGACAGATGGCAGGTCCCAGAGGCGTCTGCAGGACGTGCTGTGGAGCTGGGGCTTCATCCCGCAGGCAGGGGTTTCAGCCAGAGGAGTGTTGACACTCTTACTTGTATTGGGTCGGCCAAAAAGTCCCCATGGTTTTCTCTATAAAATAAAAGACACGTTTTCCACTTTCATTAATAACTTTATTGATTTGGATATTTTGAGTATGTCAGCTATCTCCCATGTAGTATAATGTTGATTGTCCTCAATTAATGTTTTAATTTGATCGCCATCAACTTCAACTGGTCTATGAGACTGTGGAGCATCGTCCAGCCAGAAATCTCCAGCAGGAAACTTCGCAGACCACTGTTGGCACATCGGAGCAACCACAGCACCTTCTCCACACACTGCACAATTTTTTTGTGTGTTTCAGTTGCATCTTAACCATTCTTGAAATAATAAAGCATACCATGCCGAAGATCTTGCATATTTTCTTCCATCTTCATTATTAAAATGGCTACACAAAAATTCACAATACAATCTAACAAAATAGTTCTGAGTGAAGTTAAAGACAACCGAGTGCTACCAGAGCCATCATATGGAAGAACCCAAGTGCACTTTATGGCCAACCCAATATTTTATAAAAATACTGACTACAGCAGCCCCCATGCCAGAGGAATTAGAGGGTGAATTTGCGAGCAGGGACGCAGCTGGGGAAGCTATTACAAGCAGCCCAGGTGCACGGTGGTGCAGACCTCATCCAGACCAGGAGCAGTGGGGACGGGCCAGCTCTAGAAAGTTCTTTGGAGGTAGAATGTACAAGAGTGGTTATGCAGGTAGAGATGTAAAGGGTAAGGAGAAAGTTCTGGCTTGTGTGATTGGGTGGATAAAAAATACTGTAGGCAAAGTAGACTTTAGAGAGAGGGCATGCTGATCATCTATTGCCATGTAATAAATTGCCCCCAAACTTAGTGGATTAAACCAACAAATGATTCTCTCATGGTCTCCGACTGCCTCTGGCTGCAGGCCTCTCACAGGCTGCGATGAACTTGCGGCCAGGACTGCAGTCCTCTCAAGGCTGTGCTGGGGCCAGAGCCCCTCCAAGGCCACTCACCGGCCATTGGCAGCCTCCAGGCTCCCCGGCTGTTGGCTGTTGTCTCGCCTGGGCCTCTCTGTTGGGCAGCTTGCTTCCTCAGTGAGGAAGCAAGAGAGGTAAGAGAATGCACACCAAGGCGGAAGTCACAAGCCTTTCATAACCTGCTATTGGAAGTGGCCTCCCCTCATGTCTGCCCTAGACCATTAGAGAGAAGGCACCAGGTTCAGCCCACACTCAGGGAGTTGGGGTTACACGAGGGCACGAATGCTAGGAGGTGGGGGTCAGTGAGACCGTTTCAGAGGCTGCCAACTGTGGATGGGGAGCCTGGGCGTGTTGGATTGGAGGGGTCCAGAGCCTCCCTGCTGGGAATGCCCTGATGCGGGCAGACGTGTAGTTCTGGAGCTCAGGAGAGAGTCCTCTTGTTGGAAGGGAGCCTGGAGCCTTTGCACGAGTTCTTTCCCCGACTTGCTTTGGGGACCGTCTGGACGTCTGAGACCGAGGACAGAGACCTGTGAATCCCCGGGGCCCCTCTGGTAGGAGGTGAACTACGGGTAATTGCAGATTGAATTACTTGGAGGAGGGCAGAGTGTCCCGTGACTGAAAACCTCTCCGCCTCTCTCTCTCCGTTTAACAAGTGCTGCTCTGCCACCCAACCAGAGAGAGGTTCCCCCTTTCTGAGCTGGTTTCTCATCTGCATGAAGTGGGTGGTGGGCTAATTAGCAGTTTTTTAAAATGGAGATTTTTTTTTCCCCTAGAAACCCCAGTATGCAAAATAGGTAAAAGTTGATCTGAACTGGACTCTCCAGTGTTTCCCCAGAAAAGGCCCTGATTTTGAAAAATACTGGACCAAGTAAAATCCCAATTTTCTGCCAACTCCATCATTCCAGGGTTTTGTGACAAGGCCCACTCTAAATTCCCCCAGTGCCGTGGTTCTGTTTATGGAGATCCATTGGTGCATCATATTTCATTAATTTTTAAAAAGAAAACAATTCATGTTTCTTTGAATTTGTGAAAAAATATGTGTAGTAAAGCTGACCTTCACTAAACACTCACTATGTGTCAGGCGCTGTGCAAAATACATCCTCTCCCAGCATCTGTATTTGGTCCTGTCCCCGGCTCCGTGAAGGCAGGGGCACCGTCCAGTCCACCACTGTATTTCCAGGAGCTAGAATAGTTCCAGGACATAGGAGGCATTTCAATACCTATTTTACAAATGAATGAACAAAGGAAAAGTCTGTTCTCATTCCCATTTTACAGATGAGGACACTGGAGCTCACAGCTGCCAAGTAACGTGCCCGTAGGTATCCAAGTTAAAGGCAGAACTGAGATTTGAAATTAGCTGCTCTGGGCTCCAAGCCACAGGCATCATTCTTTGTTGGTGAGACTGGCAGGAAACTGGAAAGGGGAGGCCGCAGTGGTGAGTGCCTCCCATGCGATGAACGCAGTCCCGGGAACTTTTTGCTTCCCTGATCAATTGCCCTGCAAGGTAGCCATCATCACCTCCTTTAGCAGACTCGGTACATGCAGCTCAGAGAGGCTGAGCACGTGCCTAGAGCTGTTTAGCTGGAACAAGAGACTGATCTGGGATTGCAGCCCAGGTCTTTTGACTCCTCAGCACTCTGTACAAGACCCAGTGTTTTCAACCACATGCACCAAAGTCTGGGCCCTGGAAAATATTCTGCCACCGGTGGGTGCAGGTCAGTTCGGCTGGTGAGGCTTTGCCGCCCCCGTGTCCTGCCTGTTTACTGTAGCTTCATGTTCACGGGACCACTGTGCCTTGAACTGCAGAGCCCGGCAGGCCGAGGAAGTGCAAGTGTAAACTTCCAAGATGTAGCAAACAGCAAGCGTCGGTGGCTAGGGATGGTGAACGTTGGCACCACAGCCCCGCCGTTCTCTGTAGCCTCATCGACATCCCATGTCTCAGGCCAGGTCTGAAGTTAGACTGATGATGTCACCAGAGTCTCTTAACGGCCCCATCACTCACATCCACTTGTCATATATTATTAAGCAGATCTGTAGTACATGTAACATTTTCTACTGAATGTCCATTCCTTTCTTTTCGTGACCAGGGAAAGAAAAATAGAGTGAGGATGGCTTTTTCCAGTGTCTCATCCTTCTTGCCCTTCTTTGAAGAATAACCTTTTCTGGAATTATACCCCCAAATGGCCATTTAGGCTCTGATTTCATTAATAAGGAGAGAGCCACAGTTTAATGATGATCATTTAACTAATGCATATTCTATAAAGACAAGGAAATGGATCCCCCTCATCTTTTCTTCTCAGCTCTGCAGCGGGGACACAGTTACATCTTCTTCTCGTCTCTCCTGTGTTCTCTGCACTATTTTTTGAAATTTTGGGATTGCATCAGTTATGTTAGGAGTGTTCCGCCTTATCACCTCCTATGGAGATAATGAAAGTTCTCTTAAGAATCCGACATCCTCGTAGTCTGAGTCTGAATCTAATTAAGACCCACAGTCTCAAGGATGAGGAGGAATTATCTGGGTGAAGGGTTGTGTCTGGCAGGGGGAACACAGGTGCGGTGGCTTAGGGCTTGTGAGCAACTGAAAGAGGCCGGGGAGGAGAAAGCCTAGCCAAGGCAGCGTGTGGGATCGAGAGCAGACGTCCAGCAAATGCTGAGCTTTCGGACTTAGCTCTGGGTGTGAGCCGGCTTCGTGGGGACGTGGTCTGTGCAGTAACCCAGCGCCCTGCGTGAAGAAGGGCCCCCTGCCTGGTTTGATGCTCTGTTCTCACTGTCATGACATGAATGAAACTTTCTGAACAAGGGGCTTTGCATTTGCATCTCGCACGGGGTCCCACAAACTATGTAACCTGCCCTGCTTGGGAGTGAAATCCAGTCCTGTTGCTTATTAGCGAGGTGGTCGCAGGAAAATCCATTGGCCTTTCTGAGACTTAGTTTCCGCTTTATAGAGAGTATAATCCCTGCTTCAAATGCACTGTCATGAGGATTAAATGAGATGACAGATAACTGGCGCACTGTGTGGGTATTGGTGCCCAGTAGGTACTTAGTATACTATTCCCTTCTTCTTAGCTAAGAGGCCATATCAGAGTCACCCGGGGGATTTGTTACTCAAAATACATTCGCCTGCGCCCCACTCTGAAAGGTTTCAACTCAGAGGTGAGGGCCGGGAGGGGCAGTGGTTGGACAGGTCCCAAAGCGATCAGTGCTGGTGTGCACCCAGGCTCATGAAGGCGAGCCTGGGGTTTTCACAGATCTAGCCAGGAGGCAGCCTCCTAACAGCGGAGAGCAAAAGGGGGAGGCGTTGATGGACCACTACTCCTTAACATAATAAAAAACCTGTTTAAGAAGAAAGGAGTTGTCACCTATAGCACTTCAAAGACAGTGACGGGGCCACTGAAGTGCATGGCGGGAACTCCTCCCGGTATCGAGGCTCCTGTGAAGTGCCCTGCTTGCTGTTCACTTGGCCTGACAAGTACACCCAGAGGGAGAGGGGCTGTGGACGAGAGAGGCCGGAGTAGGGACCGCGTCTGAATGTATGTCCACTTTACTGACCCTAACGCCACCCCCAATTCCTGCAAAGAAATCGTAGCTAGAGGGAGTAACTCTGAATTATGTTTGTCCTGCACAGATTTTAGGCTTTGACATCCTTCTAATGAAAAACCTGAAGCCTATCCTACTTGAAGTTAATGCGAATCCCAGCATGAGAATCGAACATGAGCAAGAAGTAAGTTTTTTAAGTCTCGCATTGAATGTATTTCCAGACAACTGGATGTTTCCATTCTCATGGTACTCACTTGGCTGAACAAAATTTAGCATTCCCAGATTTGCACAGCAAAGTTCTGTTTGAGTCTGAATAATTCCAGTTGTGTTGCACTCTGAATGCACTCTATTAATATGAGACCCATCTGACCTGTGGTAGTTTCCCAGCATGCCGTTCTTCCAGTTTCTAAGATCTGCAAATGCAGAAGCAGCTGAGCCCCTTCCATCAGCTTTGACATGAACTAATTAGCCTCAGGAGATGAACTAATTGAAATTCTATGAATATGATTTAGCCATGTCGACATGCTTGAATCACTAAGATAAATAGTATATTTAACAGTGATTCTATTTCCCCCCCTGAAAATAATGCGTCAAGAAGACTGGAAGGAAATACACCAAATACTAACAATGGGTTTTAGGGGGATTCTGTGGATTCTTTTAATTCCCTTAACCCCTCTCTATATTTCAAGTTGTCTACAATGAGCATGTACAATTTTAATAATCAGAAAAACAGAGTACTTCATGTATTCTGTTAATTTGCAAAAGGACGCTGACCTGTGTAAGGTAGTATGTACAGGGAGGCTTTAAAATCTTCTCACCCAGATGAACGTGAGCAAACGCTACCGGTAGCACCACTGCCTCCCGACAGTCACTTGGCACTGAACCCCTGAGTCTCCCCACGGTAACACGGAATTCTCATCCATTCAAGCTTTCTCCAGGGGTGTTTGAAAACGTCCCCAGCTTTGTCGACGAGGAAGTGAAGGTGGCCGTGATCAGAGACACCCTCCGCCTCATGGACCCCCTGAAGAAGAAAAGAGAGAGCCAGTGAGTATTTTCGGGTCGTCTATTTCTGTCAACTCTGCTTCCCAGACCCTACGCCGGTGAGTTCAGCTCTTGGAGCACATTAACAGCACGAGGGAGAGAGTTACGTATAAAACAGTCTAACGCAACATATTTTCATTTGTGAATATCAGCCTCCAAATACAGTGTGATTCAGCCGGGAAATGGAGGCTTACCTCTGAACCTCTGGCTTGCTGCTGTCTGCATCAGGGAAGTCCCTCTCAAAATCCACACTCCCCTAGTGACAGGGTGTCCTCCTGCCCCCCAACTGTTCTTGAGGTGCTTCTCTTTGAAACCCTCAAGCAGAGGGACAGAGCGAAGCAAACCAGAAGAGGGCCACAGGTAAGACGGACGTGGTGAGCGAGGATTGCTCCCTTTTTACTTTCTTCGTGCTGTTTACCCACCTGCAGTTTTGTTCCAGCACTGGCGGGGCCGCTCTCCCACCCTGCGGGGGCTGCTAGAATATTTACAGCAGTTACAGTTCCTCTCTGCTTCTCCCACCCAGTGGACATCATATTGGAATGTGTGTGGGGGATAGGCCCCCCTCCCTCAGTGAAATCACCCCTGAAATGAGTGACATTGCACTTGGGTATTTTGTTTTGTTTTTACTGAATTCCTGGTTCCCACAAAGTAAAGGATGAGTAAATATCACTGTGCTGGTTTTAGGCAGAAAAAAAAAATCAAAGACAGGCATTTTGAATAGTACTCCCCATAGCCCTGAAAAATCGGACGGGCCCAAATGTTCCCAGACAGGTAAAGCCCTTGTCAGCCATGGTTCAAGGCAGAGAGGAACACTGGCTTCCTGGAGCCAGTGGTGTTTGCAGGTTCTTTCACCGCGGCCCCTCACCCACTGGGCCGAAGCCCAGATATTGTTAGAACCACCCTCCAGGCCTGCCTGTCCCCTGGGTGGCAGTGTGGAGCCACCTGGAGAGCTTTCAAAGACACCGCTGCAAGGGCCCTCGCTTCTAGAGATGTGGGTTTTAATTAGCGTGGGCAGGAAACCTGGCCGCAGAAAATCATGAGGTTCCCTAGGTGACTGTCCTATGCAGCCAAGGCTGAGTGCCACTGTCCTGCAGGGCATGTCACTGTGATGGAGTATTTGTTGTTCTCGGGGTCAGGCAGGATGGTGCTCGCTCGGCTGAGCTCTCCTCCAGTGTGCTCTTCACCCTGTCAAGCACATGCCGTCCTCGTTGGCAGGACCCAGCTGAGAGCAGTCGCCCCTGGTTTGCAGGGGCCCAGCTGGCCAGACGTGGCTCCTTCCCGTGCATTAGAGCTGCCGAGTCCTCAGAGAGGCTCGAACAGCCAGCAGCCAGACGAGCGAGGTCTGTTTGTCGCGGTTCGCAGCTGTGTTCTGTTAGCCGTCTTTAAGGAAAAGCAGCGGATCAACACAGCTCAGTCGGATTCATTGCAGTACAGTGTTCTGTGTGGATCTAATGGTTATTGCGCTCACTAGGAGAGATGAGGTCCTGGGAGACGGCGTCACTGGGGGGAGGTTTCGATGGCCATCCATGCCTGTGTGCATGGTTGCTCGACTTTTTAAAGGTGACCTCGACACACCTGCACTGTGATTCCTGCAGTGAGAATGAGTTCAAGGGCCACCGTGTAGCCTGAGTCCTCTCAACCTCTGCCCCCAAAGGCATTTTCCCATGAAATGGCATTGGAAGAAGATCAGCTTCCCAGCTCTTGTCCTAAGTTGCTTTTCTTTACCTGCCGTGGCAGTCCGTGCACGCAACTCACTGGGCGGTGGATCTAACTTTTCATCACAGTGGGGCCCGTCATCAGGAAGGAGGGGAAGGGCGTGTGCCACTTGAGGCATAAGTCACAGCGCCTCCTCCTTAATTTAAAAAGCGTCGACTTTCCCTTCACCTGATAACCTGGCAGAGTTCGAGCTTCAGGAACCTGACTCCAGTTCTATAGTACGAAACCCTTTCATCTCACCCTTCTCTTACCTACCATATGAAGGGTGCATGTTAACAGCTAAATGTCACTACCGCTGTTTCCCATGAATTTCACCTTTAAAAAAAACAAACCGGCAATGACTGTCTATGAAAGCACTTTGTAATCCGTGAAGTGCCTTGATATGTAAGGCAGAATTATTATCATTTTGATAACTTTACCATGTAGAGACAAAGGTTGAAATTATCCTCAGCTCTTTGGTGTAGACGTGTTTTAGGGTAACATGGAAAGTCACTGTTCTCATGCCCGCAGAAAACACCTGAGTCATATGTGTCCTCTTCTGTGACCACGCCCCTCCCGCTGCAGAGAGTGATGTCATGTAGACTTCTGGGCTGCAAGGTACCTTTGGAACTCGAGTTTTTGTGTTTGCATGGGACTCGACCTACGGCTTCAAGTGGTAGGCTAGCTTTCCCCTCCGACTCTTTAGCAGAAGAGGGTCTGAGGACCCCCATTAGCTCTGAGTACTTTTTGTCAGCAAGACCATTGCAGGGGTCTCTGTTTTTACGCACGGACTGAAGAGAAAAGGCAGATAGACATGCTGGACTCCTCACAGCTCTCAGCTCCCCTGAGAAGATGCAAAGGGGGGTGCATCAGAAGGGCCCCATTCACATGTGTCCGTGCGTCATGCACCCCCACACCCTGAGGGGCCTGTAGGCCTGGGTCATCTCTGTAGTGGGACCGAAATCAGCCCTCCTGCCTTCTCTGGGGCAAGAACTTGAGACTCTGCTGATACCCATCTGGGCATAATTGAAAGAGCCTTTTCTTGAGTGGGAGAGACCAAGATCCTAACCCTGACCTTGGAGACATTGCAGAGCTATTTTGAGCCTCAGTGTCCTTTTCTACAAAGTGGGGGTAGTGACATTTAAATGAAGCAGCGAGCAAAACTTTCAATATACAATGGGCACTTAATAGTGTTTTGTTTACTACTCAACAATAAAATTCTCTACTAAAACATAAAAAACAAGCACAAAATAATGCTTACTTTCCATTATCTTTCCTGGTATTCTTCAAGTAGAATTTTGAGTTGAAAACCAATGACATCCTCAAACTGAAGCTGCTAGATCACTGTGGGCTAGAGCTGACATTGAAGCTGGTTGCCAATGGAAACTTGGTTTCCAAGTAGCAAGATGTCACGAACCCAGGCATATTTATTTGTTGGCCCCAGAAAGAATAGAATAGCTGTCATATGAAAACTATTTGGAGCTGTGGGAGCATTTTGTAATAGCTGGTGACTCTATTCTCTTTCATACCAGAGCTCTTCAGAGGCAGTACAGGAACATGGGAATGGTGGGGAGGGGTCTGGAGCCTTCATGCATGCACCCACGTATATGGAGGGGAAACTTACATAATGTGGAATCGGCCATTTCAAAGTATTCAGTTCAGCAGCACCCAGCACCTTCACAGTGCTGTGCAAGCATCATCCCATCTAGTTCCAAATGGTGTCACCCCAAAAGAAAACTCTGTACCCACTGGGCAGTCCCTTCCCCCTACCCCAGCCTACTCTCTGTCTCTGGGTTTACCCGTTCTGGACACTTCATATAAACAGAATCATACAATAGTCAGTCTTTCGTGATTGGCTTTTTTTCACTTAGCATGATGGTTTTGGGGTTCACCATGCTGGCGTGTGTCAGTACTGTATTCATTTTCACAGCCACGTAATATCCCATTGTATTGGAATATTATTCCAGTATACCACACTTTCTCATCCATTTGTCGCTGATGGACATCTGGGTGGAAGCCATCTTTTTTTAGCCACAGTGGAGCTATGATGATCAACTTTATATTTTGGCATCTGCAGGAGACTTCATTTGGAGGGAAGAAGCTTTTCTGGTACAGGACGTTCTTTAAAGGCCTCGGTTTAATCCAGCCCCCTCATTTTGATGATGCAGGCACAGACTATCTGAACTGGAGGGGAGTGTGGCAGCCCTCGTGCCTAGCAGCTCTCGGGCTCAGAGAGCGCTCACCAAGCCTCCCTGGCCGAGGAGCAGCAGTGTCCTGGCCTGGCCCTGGCAGTGGCACCACTCAGGCCTGGGGTGAGGTCCCCAGTCTCTGATCATTGCTCCATGAGCTTGGCCAAGTGGCTTTGTCCTCTGCTCTCATCTAGAAAATAGACATCAAGGTATCTCATTGGGTAGACTGTCACGGTCATCCTATGAAAGGACCCACGACAGAGAGCTTCGTGACATCTGAGAGCATTGGACAAGCGCTAGTTCTCAGGGTCACCAGGTGGTCAGTTGGGCTTTATGGCTTTGTTGTTGGGGCCACTGAGTTGCCAGCTTGTGAGGCAGCCTTAGCTGAGTTGTGCCTACATAACGATTCTGAATCACACACGACGGAACTCAGAAGAGGGCCAGTAACTTGCCCCAAATCACGAAGCTGGTTAGAGGCTGAGCAGGCATTGGACCGGGGTCTCCTGGCTCCCACCCCAGTGTTCTCTCCACTTGGCCACGGGGCCCCACTGACTTTCAGCCTCTACTTCAAGTCAAAGCTAAGCTTGTAAAGGAAGGGGAAAAAGATCAGGAAAATCAACAGGAAAATCTCCCCTTTTAACAAAAGATATTTGGGCAGCTTCAATCTTTCCTTTTAAAAAAGTCATCTCAGAAGCAGAAGTGAATAAATTCCCTTCCCTGATTACTTTAAAAACAATGATTTTTCCATCAGTTCACTAATTTGGGGGAGGTCAGTTTGCCCCCCAGAGGAGCCACGTGACTCACATTTTGCTCCTTTTCCGGAACGTAGATATTTCTGGAAACCAGATTCCTTTCTCAGGAATCATAATCGGTTAGGACCCCAGAGAAATAAAAATGAAGCCAGAGACCGGCTTGGAGAACTCGGAGGGAATTTTCTTGCTACCACGAATCCACGCAGTGCCTGGGGGCTGGGCCGTAACAGACTGCCTGCCTCTTGTTCCAAGTGTATTTTTGGAACAGGCCTTCTATAAGGCACAGAAGCCCCCTTTCTCCCTGTAACATTTCACCCCCCTCTCCCAGTTTCATTTACCTCCTGTTGCCATAACAACCAGGTTCATG